AATGGCTGCGATGAATGCTTGCCACACTGCGCCTGACCTGATCGCCGTGCTTGGCTAGGCTAGCTTGGCACCCATGAACTCCCGTCCGGGGTCGACTTGCAGCTCTGTGGCCCTGTCAGCGGACTACGCTTGTACATGCGCTCGAATCCGCTGGCTACTTGGGGCGAATCTTTCGCGGTTAAGGGCTCAGCTTCTTTGTAGTGGCTGGCCACGTCAACGACGGTTAGGGCATACTTGTACCTCCTGTCGTGTGGTAGAAACAGGAGGTCGGCCTGGTGGACGCTATTGGGCGTCGACACACCGAACTTTCTTCTAGGTACGAAGCATGGTGCCAATAGGTAGATCTGCCACAGAGCTTGTTTTTCCAGCCACACTTTGGCCTCGTGCGGTGATACTCTCGCCATTTTGGAAAGCTTGTTTATGGCACTAGCCCCTTTCCAGTACCCACGCGGCTGTAGTAAATGGTCTCAAGGCGTTGTGACATACGTCTATGTTTTTGGTTCAATTTTCTCATGTCCGTACGCGTATGTGTTGATCCCGTCGATGGCTATCCAACGCTTCGTGTCCATTGGCGACAGGGACGTCTTGTTTATCGTCAGTCCGTATATCCTCTGCCCGGTCGCTTCTAAGCATATTCATTTGATGCTTGAAGGTGCGGGTCCTTAACAGGGCTTCGTTGAACCTGACGTGTTTGATGTGTTGTTTCACCCTTATTTCTTGACCCCTTTCGCCTTTCGGATCTCACCATTGTCGGCTTTCAGGATGGAGTACATCTTGGGCCTCAAGCCTATGTACTCGGCGATCGGCGTGCCGGCACACTCGTCTATTCATCTTGCCGAGGACCTTTTTGTTGACTTGGCTGTGCATGGGGTGGTCCTAAGGGTAGTCGCTGGTGTCGTACAGGTGCATGTGTTTCTTCATGTCCTCATACACGTCCTTGGTTCGAATCTCCATCAGCAGGGAGTCTGTGTCCGTGTACAGCACTTCACACCTGTCGCCGTACTGTTTCTTGAGCTCGTTGTAGTAAAAGTCGTACATCAGGTGCTTGGAGAGATCGAGGATGCTCATCCCCACGTAGACGAGCCGGTTGAATTTGATGTGGCTTTTCTTCATGTGCAGGGCCACCAGATCGTCAGTGAATATCTTGCTCCTGTTGAATGCCGGGCTGGCTATCAGTTTCCTGAGCTTGTCTTTCTCTTTCAACCGGACTAGCATCACGGTCACGCGTTTTCGCCGAGTTGTTCATGAGCTTGTAGAGGTTCTTCTCGAAGTCACTGGTGTCCAGCTTTCGCAGGTCCGTGTTCATTCTGATGTGAGGCTCCATCCTGGGGCTTTGGTCGAACTTGGCACCCTATGAATTTTAGTCAGCCTCATACCCAGCGACAGGTACAGCTGCAGGTTGCGATAGTGAACGATGTACTTGGTTTTGGTCATCAAGGTGGGTACGAGTTTTTTCAAGGTTGGCCGGTTTATTTTCCCCCAGCAAGTTCCGTTGGTAGTCGGACATCCAGTCTCGATTGACCATTAACCGTTCGGGAGCCAGGGGGTAGCTGTTGTGTGCAGCGTGCAATGCTGCTGGATACTCCACTTCGAGTATGTAACCCTTCCCCGAATCCGGTGGTATGCTCATGACGTCTATCTTGGACATCCACTCGAACCCCCCGGTACGTAGATACTGGCTCATAGCCCAGCCGTACAGGTTGTTGGCATCAAGGTAGAGGAGATGATTGGTGGGCTTGCTAGGTTCGTAGCCCTTCACGTACTCGTTGTTGGTTTTCGCATAGCGTTTGGAGACCATGGAAATCCCACCTCGTAAGCCTTTCTCGATGAACAGGTGCATGTTGTAATCGGTGAGGAGTTTGACCTCGGTCTTTTTCAGCAAGGCATCCCAAGAGAGACCGGGGGCTGGTGTAGTACCATGCAGGATCGAGTTCATACTGCTTGAAGCACATCCTCCTGAACGTCTCAAACACGTCGGCCGGCAAGAGTACGTCCATTTTCAAGTACAGGTCGTGGTAATCACCCAGGTTCCTGCAGCCCAGATTCTCCCACACGTTATGGGCGTGGTCGTAATCGTCCTGGGTGATTGACGAGTCGGTCAGGTTGCTGTAAAATCAGCTGATGGGAGGCAGTCGGGTCTCGTCGAACTTGGCCCAGCTATCCATGTACTCGTAGGGGTACACACCCTTCCTCATCAGCAGGGGTCTAGTCTTGGCGTCGGTGTATAGATGGGTGATGTGGAAGGTATCGCTGGCCTTGACCAAACTGTGGAGAGACGACAGGAGGAACTGAACTGAGTCGATGAACCTCAGGGAGAAGGAGATGTATCTCTCCATGTTGTTGGGGATGCACGTCAGGTTGCCGTCGACCCTCGCGATGGCCTGCATGATCGAGTGAGAGTCGTACCCTTTCAAGTTGTGGAAGACCATGGGGATGTTGATTGTAATGGGGTTGATTCTGAGCTTGAGGTTGAACGCGTTGTGGGCTGCGCCTCTGTACTCACCGGTGATGTGGCAGTGATCTCTCACCGAATCGCCGTTCAGCGGTTCGTCGCACACGTGACACACGTGGCTGCCGTTATGAGCTCACTTGTCAGCTTGGGTCATGCGCATGGTAACGACGGTGTACAGCCTTTTCCTGATCATTTTCTCTTCGTGCTGCAAACACATGAAAAAAATTTCAGCCGCGTCGGGACCTCTGTACACCACGGGCGCGTTTGTTTTCCTATCACATCGGATGACCACGTATCCGAATCCACAGGCCTCGTGCTCCTGCGTTTTGTGCATGACACTTTTGTCCGGGGCGGACCTATGGTGTCAACGTGTTTGACGAGGGCTTCGAAGTCGGCGTAGATGATGTAAGGTACGACCATCTGGTTCTTGTGGTTGTCGAATTTGAGGGGGGGTGTCACCTTCCTTGGGCATGTCGATTCGTATGGCCGTCTGCCCCACGCCTAGGCAATCCTCCCGGTGTGATTCCAGCAGGTCGGCCCAGGTGAAACAATGCAGGCATCGTTCACAGAAGTGTGTTTTCCCTTCGTCTTTTGATTGGTCGTGCAACAGCCTGCTGAAGTGTTTTATCCACACGTAGTGGTACTTGTCACCTCACTGGATCATGAATATAGTGATCGTCTTGCGTCCCTCAGTCACCGGGCTGATCCTGTGCATGATCGTTTTGTTACCTTCGTGCCCGAAGACGTTGATGGCTATGTGGGTGTGCTGTTTCTCGATTTTGGTGACCTTAGATATGGGGGTGGGTTCGTCTATGTCGTCCCAGTTGAGTCCGTCATCTTCGGGATAGCTCGAAGGTCTGTTCGAATTAACGTTGACAGGAAACAAGGCAGATCTGATTGTTAACCTCATGCAATCATCGCCTCTGTTCTTGACGTTGACCATGGCATGTTTTTTCTTGTAGTAGGGGGTAAGTCCAGGTACGTTCCACCTCTGAACGGCATGTAGTTAGCTATGTCCAGGTAGACCTTATCGATTTTGTCCACGGCCCACCCGGAACCCCTGTGCGTGTAGCGTTCCAGGTATTCTCGTAGTTGCTGAAGCGAGGTGTTGATGGACTCGTCTACAGTCTCGGGTTGAGTCGCACTTCTTGTTTACCCCTGAAGTAAGGCTTAACGTACTCTGTGCTGCCGTCCGCCTGCTGTTAATCGAGCCACATTTTCACTGTGATCTGGAATTTGAGGCTTCCCAGGTCGGTCAGTTCCTTGTTGACTTTGCCAACGATCAGGGGTTTGACGTCGTCGATGTCTATGTTTGGTCTACATTCATCCGCCAGCCCCTCAGGTAGTTACCTATAGCGTGTTCAGTCCACACGAACCGTAGCTCCAGGACAGTAGGCATTGTTATGCTCAGGTGTATACTCAGGCGTATACAATCTCTAAATGGGTCACTGTTTAGGGAAGGGAGGTAACTTCTCCAGCCTCATCT